CCCCACACACACACACAAATAAAGGCCAAAGAACCTCACCTCCTAGAATCTATCACTCTTAGACCCACTGTCAAAACAAGACAACAATGCCATATTAATAAATTCAAAACTTTGTTCTCTACCTGACCCCCTACACAATGGACATTGAGATGTCGGTATGTCTTTGGTGTTGACGGCCGTTGTCACTGCATACGCAATTCGCTCCCCTTGTCTGGATATTTCGCCAGGGCGGCAAAATCTCACTGGGAAGCCTATATGTGAGGCGAGCTGATAAAATGGGTTACTTCTCGACATCCACAAATGGAGACATTGGCCAAAAATTGACACAAGGGTCAAATTTGTAGATTTTCTATCGATGCCATATTCTTTAAGTATTACATACCTTTTATTTCAAGCTTATAAATTTTAAAAACTTCACCTATACTATAAGTGTGATGTATGTATTCATTTAGGGCCTGAATCCGAGAAGTAACTCATTTTGTCAGCACGAGTCACATATGTCTTTGATGTAAAGCCGTTGACTACTACACATGGGGCATTCATTTAGAACTCCTTTTCAGACGAGCGGGTCTCGCTGGTTTAATAAAACAAACGAACAAATAAACAAACAAACAAACAAACAAACAGACGTGGTTGTTGTGTGCCTCCTTCCCCCGGCCTTTACTAGTGAATACTGACGTAAGTGGTGTAGCAGTTAAAAGCTTCGCCGCTGCACACTGAGTACTCAATTTCGAAACAAACGGGTTCTCGTCTCCAGTCACTCTTAAACCCAGTGTCAAAGCAAGATAACAATGCAATATTCATAGATTCAAAATTTCGTCACTTAATGACAAGCTAGGCACGGTACATAACGGACGGTGAGCCGAAGACTTTATCTTTGACGTGAGCTGCTGCTTGACTGGTTGACTGACAGCATATGGCGCATGTTGTAGAGCCCTTAAAATATATGGGTGTTTCCACATCCCCATTGACACATAAGACAATTTCGGAGGCCAGCATCGACCCCTCTTTGTCAGGGCCTGCCAGTGATGTGAGGGATTCTATGTCCCAACAAATAAGACAAAGAGTTCTGACGTACTCGATACAAAGTTTTCCTACACTGAAATAAAACTCGGGTCTTCTGCTTGCGATTGCAAAACGCCTAACCGTTAATATACCAGAGATACCGGTGCATTCTCTTTCAAACGAGTTGGTTTGACTGGTTACGAAACAACAACTAGAACCACGACTATAAAATAACAAGTGGGCTCTCGTGGCCTAGAGGTTAAGGTGTTCGCCTCTCATTCAAATGTCCCGGTTTCGAATCCGGGTGCGACTGGAAATTTTAATTCTCTAAAACTGTCTGTCTCCTCCTTCCCTACTCTAGCAATGTTCTGTCGTCTGCTTTCGTCTCAACATTTCTCCCCCACCTCTTCACCTCCTTTGCCCCCTTCTCTGGGCTCCTGACACTTTCTGCAGCTTTTCAACTCCTACTCCTTGACTCCTTCTTACTGCTGTCGTTCAGCCACACCTCTGATCTTCTGGTGGAAAAGATTTACACCTAACCTTCTCGGACAAGTGCAAACAATTTCGGAGGTCCAGTGTGCAAGTTAAAGATCCCTCGATGGTCTAAAATCGATAAGAGTAGGCATGGGCCGCCACCAGGGCAAAGTTCAAAATTTCCTACCAACGGAAAAATGTTTGTTGTGTCCCGTGCGCTCATATGACCTTATGCAGTTGCGAGCGCCGTAAAACACTTACCAAAAAAAACCCACACCAAAAACCAAAAACAAAAGCAAAAAAAACAACAACAACAAAAACAACCAGAACAAACACAAATAAAAAGCAGGCAGGATTCACATACCATTAGAATTTGATCAAAACTTTCCTTCACCACCTGAACAGCTACACAGCGAACGCTGATGTGTTGACATGTCTTTGATGTAAGTCGTTGATTGACATCTCAGAGGGCATTTATTTGAACTCCTTTCAAACCGTCAGGTCATGTTACTTGAAATAAAACAACAACAAAAAACAACAAACAAAACAAAAGTGGCCAGGGACCCGCGTTCTCACCCTGAGGCACCTGTAGACCCACTGTCAAAACAAAACAACAATGCCATGTTTACAGATTCCAAACTTCGCTCAGTACCTGACCAGCTACATAATGGGCACTGAGATGTCGGCATGTCTTTGATTCCCTCCCCTTGGCTGTGCTTTTCACCAGCTGGCAAACTCTCAATGGCTGTCACCACACAATAGACTCGTTAACGTCAGTGGGAAAACCAAACTCCAGCAATATTTTCTTTGCCCGTCGGTTCTCAAAACACCACAACAATGTTATAATCAAAGGCTTAAAATTTCGCTCACTTTCCTCCGGCCATGAAACCTGGTATATAAGGGGCACAGTGTGTCAGCATGTGGTCACTTCAGTTTTGCAGTTCGAAGGATACGTTTGTGGAGTCTATATCTGGATCATATACGTCGTTCTTTTGGAATCTATCACCGAAGTCACATTCACCATGGAGATCGTTGATCAGCGAGATGATATCTTTGACGCCTTCAACCTAGTGAGAGGCCCGCTTTTAGGTCGTGGCAGCTCAGGAGAGGTTGTTCTGGCCTCGGCCAAACACGATATGTCCTTGAAAATGGCAGTCAAAATAATATCTCTCGAGAGGCAGCAATGGGAAAACCAGTTCGACGAAGAAGTCACTTTTCTTCGCCAACTACGCCATCCACATATCTTGAAGATCGTAGCTTCGTCGTGGAATGCAGCCTATGGCTTCATTGTGATGAACTACTACCAGAACGGGACACTTTACGACACCATGTCAGGACCTGTCAAAGGACCGAGGATGCTCAGACACACCCTGGATGTGGCGAGTGCGTTGGATTACATCC